TTTTCAGAGTCTAGAATTCTCTCCTATAGAGAAAATTACGTAGAAAAGAACTGTGGCTTTCCAGGCCTCAACTCTTAACTCTCTTAAGATCTGTTGCCCAGGCAAACATACTTAGGCCATATCTAAGCATCAGAACAAAATGATTTAACAAAAGTGAATGAACAGTGAGATCGTTGTATCTGTGGAGCTCACCAGTGAGACAGCAGAGCTAGAGAAGCATTGAGGTAGAAGGTGGGATGAGTGAAACATGAGAAAACACCAAGAGTGAGAGAGGAGAGTAGTCATGTCAGGGTCTGACCAGACCTGTTTGGCAGGACACATATTTTTTCCTTTGCTTATGGAATGTGCTTTCTTCTGTGCTCTACTGTTCCATTCGTAGGTGAGCCCTTTTGCAGCCCTCTCCTGGCCCACGTGGTTTCACTGAGCTCTGAGCTCCAAGATTTTCAGCCAAAACCACACCTACTGCTGTCAAGCAATTCCAAGTCAGAGGGACCTTATAGGACAGAGTAGAACTGGCCCTTAGGGTTTCTAGGTCTGTAAATTGTAACAGAAGGAGACTGCCTCATCTTTCTTCTCCAGGCTTCTGGTGAGTTTGGTTAGCAGCTGACCTTTTGGGTTGCCACAGAGTGCTTTAACCACTGCTCCACCAGGGCTTGTTTTTCAGCCCAGTCCTGGGTAATCAAACCTGGACTCAGCTCTTGCAAGGAGTCATTTGATTCATTCATTTGCTCATTTGGCAAACAGTTCTTTAATGATTAATGGATAAAGGCAGAAAATTAATTCACTGTTCTTGACTATAAATAACTTGCTGCCATCGAGTCAGATCCATCTCATAGCGATCCTCCTTGAGTTTCCAAGGTGGTATCACTATGAAAGTAGATTGCCCAGTCTTCCTTCCAAAGAGTGTCTCTTGGGTTTGAACTGTCAAATGCCTTAGGCACTACACCACCAGAGCTCCTGTTCTTGACTGTGTGTGTGTGTGTGTGTGTGTGTGTGTTATGTGCTGTCGAGTCAGACCCAACTCATAACGACCCCTTCTTGGGCTTCCGAGGCAGTATCACTACAGAAGTAGATTGCCCAATCTTCCTTCTGAGGAGTGGCTGGTGGATTTGAACTGTCAGCCTTCTGGTTAGCATTCAAGTGCCTTAGGCACTACACTACCAGAGCTCCTGTCTTGACTATAAGGGACTTTAAGTCTAAGACAGAGAGAAAACAGGTAGGCAATTAAATGTGATCGAATATTTCTGGTATGTGTGTTGGGGGGGTGGGAGCAGGCCACAAAGGACACTGCTACCTCTCAGCCCCTCCCAGCCTCATGTCCTTGGGTCAGTATCTCCAACCAGGAAGCAAGAATCCCACCCTTGCCTAGGATTGAAGTGGGTGGGGTGGGTAGGGAGATGGAAACACCAGTCAAGTCCCAGAAGGACTGCTTTAGCAACCAACGGTCAGTACTACAGTCAGCCCCACCCAGCCCAGCCCAGCCCAACCCAAGAAGCAGGGTTACACAGCGCTGACTCAGTGGGGCAGCTGCAGCTCTCAAGTAAAAGGCCCACAGAGAAGAGCTACATGTCTGCAGTGATTCATCCACTAGCCACTAGAGAACAGAGTCTAGTCACAGTGTCCCCCCCTTTTTCCTTGGTCTCAGCCAGTGTGCCAGCTACTACTTCAAAGCAAAGTTCCTTGTCAGTAGCCCTGGTCAGTACTATGGGGTGAAACCATGGCAACTCTTCCAATTTTAAATGCTTTGATTTCACCTTCATGACCTTGTATCTCCTAACCAGTCCCTGCTCTATGTTCTTACTGTAAAAGTTCTACTAGACAAATAGGGCATCCTCTGGCTGCTGGATTCACAGCCTGTTTGCTGAATAAAACAACTGGGGGCGGGAGGAAGGACCCAATGGGGCAGCGATGTGGCTTCTGAGACAGACTTTCCATCCCTTGATAATGAGCATGGCCAAGGAAAGGATGAGATTGGAGTGATCTAAGACCCAAGCATACTGGCAGGGCTAGTAAGACTGGTCAGGAAGAAGATATTCATAGTGGCTAGGATTTCCTCAGCTTTCAACTTAGATTTCTTAGAAATTCTTAATCAGCCTGTCTTCCTATTTTAGGGGGCCTTGCCCTACTGCAGAGTCTCTAGGTGGCACAAATGGTTAAACGCTTGGCTACTAGCTGAAAGGCTGATGGTTGGAATCCACCCAGAGATGCCTCAGAAGAAAGCCTGGCTAAAAAAATCCTTCTAAAAGATCACTGCTCAAAGCCTATTCTTGAGCCGTTGAAAACCCTATGGAGCACAGTGCTACTCTACAACACATGAGTTGCCATGAGTCAGAGTCAGCAACTGGTTTACCCCATGTCACAGTCCCTTTTACTTCTCTGGCTTTGCAGTGTACTCCGGATTTCCTTCTGCTTTGCCTTGTAAAGGTGAACTAGATGTCCCACAGCACCTTCCAACTTCTAGGATCTTTGGGAACTGGTAGTGCCACTCTGAGATTGTTGTTGTTGTTGTTGTTTGCCATCGAGTCGGCCCCGACTTATAGCAACCCCTCCTTGGGTTTCCGAGGCAGTATCACTACGGAAGTAGGATTGCCTAACCTTCCTTCCGAGGAGTGGCTCGTGGGTTTGAACCACCAGCCTTCTGGTGAGCAGTCAGGTGCCTTAGCCACCATACTACCAGAGCTCCCTCTGTGGCATCAAACTCCTTTCCTGAGGTATTTACAACTGGGGTGGGATTCCACATCCTCCCATAGGTGCCTTACTCAGTTCATTTCTCTTAAAGAACACACATGGCTGGACTGTCAGAACCAACCCAGGCAAGGCTGACTCCCTCTAAGGACACTGCCATCTGAAACCCGTATGGGGGTGGCAGAAGAGCCAGATCTGGGCTGTGTAGGAAGATGAGGAAAGGGTGTGGTTTCCACTGGTATTCATCTCACAGTGGACTGTGCTGCATTAATTTGCTGCTCTCTTCGAAAGAACTGTCTCTCAGATGAGTCATGCTAGAGCCTAGCTTATAGTATTCTCTAGAGTAGCACATTCTTTGGCATGCTGGTTCCTGTACTTTTCTGGGGACTGAGGGGTAGAATTTACAATTCTCACATCTAATTGCTCAATCCTCGTGTCCACCAACTCCACCATCTCCTCTTTAAAAGACAGTAGTTAGTGACCTCTTTTGAATATGCATCTGTCAGCAGCAGGACTCAGAGGGAAAGCATGCCTTAGGTTCCTGTTAGCGTTCTTCTGTGGAGGAAGGTGCCAGCCTCTCCTTCAGCCTGTGCTCAAAGTCTGTTCTTGGGATTTGTGAAGGGGGAGGGAAAGGGGAAAATGGTATATTACAAACTTCATTTAAATTCCCATTTCCTAGCCAGTAGTGATGTTAGGAGACGTTAGCTAAAGCTGCTCTATTCTAGCCAAAGCATTCCTTCCAATTAAGCCAAAATTCACTGAGCTTCTATTAAGTTCCAGGCACTGGGTGTTGATGAGATGTATTCACCCAGATCATTATACCAGAATATATTTAGTGATTTGACATGTTTCCTCTCATTTCCTTCTTTTTTTCAAATTTTTATTGTGATTTGGGTGAAAGTTTGCAGAGCAAATTCACTTTCCATACAGCAGCTCACATATACTTTGTCTCTTCCATGCCTTTCTTATAAACCCATCATGATGGAAAGTTCTTGCTCTCCCACCTCACCCCAGACTGTGAGAGCAGTTCTTCTGTCGAGGGTAAAAAATATTTCGGCCCTTAAGGATTTAGGTTTGACTGTTATTTGTACCGGGGCTCTGGTGTCATAGTGGCTAAGGCACTTGACTGCTAACCAGAAGGCTGGCAGTTCAAACCCACCAGCCACTCCTCAGAAGGAAGGTTGGGCAATCCTGTCAAGATCATCTAAAATAAAAGCAACTGTGG